TTTCTCTCTTTTTCTCTCTTTCTCTTTCTTTTTCTCTCTTTTTCTCTCTATTTCTCTCTTTTTTCTCTCTTTTTCTCTCTTTCTCTTTCTTTTTCTCTCTTTTTCTCTCTTTTTCTCTCTATTTCTCTCTTTTTTCTCTCTTTTTCTCTCTTTTTTCTCTCTTTTTCTCTCTTTTTCTCTCTTTTTCTCTCTTTTTCTCTCTTTTTCTCTCTTTTTCTCTCTTTTTCTCTCTTTTCTCTCTTTTTCTCTCTTTTTCTCTCTTTTTCTCTCTTTTTCTCTCTGTTTTTTCAATTTCTATTCCGACTTTCCTGCTCATGTCCTTTATACACATCCTATCGCTGCCTTCTTAGCCAGCTGTTTCACCGTTTCTCATCTACATGTCACTTCTCCACTTTGCAATCATCCCAATTTTTGCAGTGGTCTCATCTTTTCTATCTTTTGCAGTGTTTAAAAGTCGTGTAAATTTTAAGGGTAATGGGTAATGAAAAAAGGAGCAAAAAATATATCTTCTTCCCCTCGTCCAAGGGGAGTTTTTCGTATCGTAATTTCGTTTTGAAGTATGAATCTAGCAAACGTACTGTGGTATTTTTTGCAGGTAATGGAACGACGGCGTAGGGATTGTGAAAAGGAAAATAAAGGTATACCTTGTGAATCAAGAGTTATTTATTCCTTAGTAGATGGATTTTGTGGTGTATATAATTTTTTGCCACGTCATTCTTGGGTTTTCGGTTGTGTTCCCCAAATCCTCGTTGTGTTTTGATTGCCTTAGCAATTTATTTTCCTAAGGAATCGTGCAGGAGAACGCTTTAAAAACTCTTTTTGTTTGACTCTTGGTAGGCTATAACACACCAGAGTACCACCGAAATTGAATTCTCTCGCTACATTGCTATGTGTGGATCAAATATACAACTTTTGGCGAAAAATCTACTTGAAAGTTCGCTTAATTCTATTCAGGAGAAATTTGTGGAATACTGGCAGAGCAAGAAATTATTATTCTAAGCAGTGAAAAACTCCCTGCATAAAACATGAATGGGGGGCTTCTGTGGAACTTCTTTATAAATTATTGGTCCAACTTCTTCTTTGTCAACCATAATTGTCAAACAACAGCTAGCTATGATATTTATCTACACCTGGGTGTAAATTAAATTGTTTTTCTTTAAAGCATGGTTTTTTATCTCAATCTCTGAGGTGTTTCAGAGTCATTAAAACGCCTTTAGTTAAGAAAACCCGTTTTCTCTACTCCTGATGTTTTTAACACCCAGAAAGTTGATTTAGTTGATATAACCACGTTAGGCATTTGTTTGTTTTTTTCTTTGAAAGCTCTTTGAGTTCTATACTTTATTTTCAATCTTAAAAATACCAATGAGAAATTGAGACCCTTGACATATCACTGGTGTATGCAAGGTGCTCTTTCCCAAGCGAAATCCGAAATATTGTTCTGTTTTTCAAGATTAACCGACTGACCGGGCAACTACACACCGTCTCATTTTCCCCATATATCTTTCACTGATTTCTTACTCTATGTTGCCAATCCCACATCGTCATCAATATCACATTTCTTTTAGTCCTTCTGTATTGTTGAAACATCATTCTGAATTTGGTTACCAGTCAATATCATATCCTCTACGTTACCTTCTCTTTTTCAGACGTTTTAGTTTGGAGTAACGAGCGCATGATCAAGTGGGTCTGCTCAATAGGCCTAGACGAGTTCGCCTACTGCCTGCAGCAATCGGGAATACACGGTGCAGTTGTGGCAATGGATGAGACGTTCGATGTTGGCAGCCTAACTTACTATTTACAGATACCCAGCACCAATACACAGGCAAGTGTCAACTTTCACACGGTTTCTGCTTTGTTAATTATAATTGATGTTATCCAGAGGAAATAGCGAGCGACTGAAACGACTCGGATTTGACTCGAACCCGCGACCGGATTTCGTTCGTCCTGCCCCGGACGTGTCATTTGCTCACATTTTCTCCCAGTATATTTCTCAAATCCTGTTCTGCATTCAATAGATGCTATGTTAATGTCAAACTACAGGCTTTGTAAAGGGGTCCGTTGAGATCAGCTGTGTACTGAATAAAACATTCACCTCCTTATTGCAATTACTTAAACCACTCTTCCATAGTAAAGCGCAATAAAAATTCATAAAAAGTCTATGCCCTTAAAATTACAATATATTTGAAACAGTCCTGGTAAGTTTAATTTTGATAAGTTACTCTAACTATGGGAATAACCCACGGTTTCCACATAATTCGCCCTAGTCGCGCAGCATTTGCCAAAGCGAATTGACAAACAGCGAATTTGCTCAAACGGGAACGCGACGAGTCGCTCAGTAGTTCAACTGAGTTGAACCATTATTGGCTGGTCTCGCATTCGCAGTGAAAAATGTAATTAAATTTGCGCATGTTCGAATGTGTATTCGCCCTGTCGTGCGACCAGAGCGAAACAAGTCGAAACTAGCCTTAAACATAGCAATGCTTCATTTCATTCTACAAAGGGGAGATGGTTTTTTTGAACGGTATCTACTTTGCCAAGCAGTAATATCAGATCAAACAAGAGGATATTGATTCCCATCCTTTAACTTATTCTACTACTAACAGCTCTATACGATACATCATCCCTTCCATTGATTGGAAAATTAGGGTGGTTAGCTATAAAAGAAATGATTGAATTTGAAACTGCAATTGCCGTTTACAAGTCTCTCCATGGATTAGCTCCTGAATATATGCAGCTAGTGTTTACAAAATTATCGGAAAACAGTTCACGGTCTCTCCATTAAACAGACACGGATCTTAGAATTCCTCGCTTTGCAACCTCTTACGGGCGACGTAGTTTCTCATATCGAGCTGTGAAAGTGCGGAATAAACTAAGCACTGAAATAAAAAATGCCCATTCACTGGCTACTTTCAAAAGTTTGACAGCTTAGGTTTTTAGACAAGGCACATTGTAAATCAGTTATTATCTTTTCATTTACTGAATTTATTACCTTGTATAAATAATTAAAAAATCAAATCAAATTATCTTCCTACAGACCAAGTTTTTCTAAGCTGATACAAAGCTACTCACTCTAACAAAGTTAATATGGCGTTTAAAAGCCAACTGGGCGATAAGGTCTTATATGTTTGCTCAAATAAACCAAGAAAAAGTTAGCGAAGTCGGATTTCTCAGTATGCAAAGGGAAATTTTATATGTTGTTTAGAAAATGTTTATATGTTGTGATGAACGTTGTTTAGAAAATTAAAAATGCTGAATACTTTTATATAATTTGCTAAAATATTTTTATTTTATAAGCAATTATTAATTCTTTTGCTATGATTTTATTCATACTTTTTTCAGGCAAGGCAAATTCTAGAAATGGAGTTTGCAAAGCTAACAGCGCTGTGTCCGGACAGATTGTTGCACGCTGATGGAAAATCAGATGTAAGTCGTTTGCATTCAACTTTTATGAAGCAATGTGTTTTTTACAGTTTCAGCATTAATTTGGGAAGCTTATTTTTTAAAGCTTAAACGGGTTTAGAAAAGAATCACTTCCTGCTCTTTGTGGAAAGAATTATTGTAGCACATCAGATTTAAAAAGTTTTTTGAGCTCTTAGCATTACAATATCGTGCTATCTTTTGTCGCATTTCATTTCTAAATCTAAAACAACTGCGTTAAGAAGAAATACAAAAGTGTTTTATAGCAAGGGTTCTTGTAATGGTAAGAGCAGGGGCGGACACTTGGTCAAATTTTGGGGAGGCAAGCCTATTGTTTTAATAAGATGACGTCACATTTCCCACTGTTTTGGAATAAAAGACCATTGTCCTCTAAAGTATTGGGGGGGGGCGGTCGCCACTGGTGTCCCCCCTAGGTGTCCGCCACTGGGTAAGAGGAGATTTGGTATGTCGTTATTTATTATGACCCAGAATATGTGGCTACATTTAAGAAAATTGAAGAGAAAATAATCTTTTTCTCGCACCTGTTTTGGTTCTTGGATGCATTTTGCAAATTTGTTTGCTTTTCAGTTAGGAGATGGAGATTTCAAAAGAAGTCGATCATGGCGTAAAAAATTCAAGAAAGAACGTGGAAGAGATAGGCGTGACCACCCTACATTGACGAGACGGGGGTCGACCGAATCAGATATCTCTCAGCAGAGCGGTTCTAGTGGCAGTGAAAATTTGAATTCACCAGCCCATCGAAACAAAAAGTCACCGTTAGTAGGTAAGGAATTGACCCGAGTTCATCTAAAGTCTTTCACAAAGCTGCACGAACCTTGTTTCAATCGTGTCAAATCTCCCGCGTTGAATACGCGGGATTTCACCAGGATCGACGGTTTTTGTATCTTCTTGCAGACGACTTTCTTCTACTGTGACTTGCGTTCTGATTCACATTCTGCCTTTAAAAGGCTCTCATTACATGTCATTTTGAAAATGAAAATAATGCAGAATACATAAATATCTCAAACAGATACGCACCTTAATAGTTGTTTATCCCCGTAGATTTTTGAAATTTTTCGTTTGTTGTCACGGCTTGGCAATTTCTATGCTTCATTTTCCGGTGATATTATTTAGAAATTTATTTTTCATTTAAGATTAATTTGCATTCTTTGTTTTTTTTACAGATAGAAGAATTCAAAAGTAGAATATTACGGTAAAACTCCATTGAAATTATTTTTAGGAGCATTTCAAATAATCAGATAGTTATTTTGATTAGGAATGGTGATTTCGCAACCAAATACTGTGTTTTAGTCTAAAATCATTGACGAAAGTCTTAGAACACTAGCGTCCGTGTTCAAAGAAGAATTTAGCTATCCGTCTTTCCCCTTTGAAACCATGTTGATTTACGAAAAAACGAGCTAGAAGATTAGGACGGAATGTTTTTCATATGACGTAAATAATACATCATTAAAATTATTTACATTGTTTTTAGAGATAGGGAGAGCGAAAGCAGTAGTTTTTAGGAAAGGAAATGAAGACTCAAGCTGTTTGATATTTATTGTAATTTTGGCAGGCATTTAGGGTACATTGGAGCATTACAACTAGAGTAAAGGCATTGATAAAGATGAAAACGTTTTTCGGATATATATTGATAGCTTTTGATTGGTTATCGAAGAATCCCTGCGATATTTACTGTCTTCATTGTAAGAATGATTTTTATTTAACATATCTATTGATTTTTAAAGAAACATTTTAAAGCTAATGATTCGATTTTTTGGATTTTCCAGGAAATTTAGTAACATTGTCACAGAATCAAATATCTATTTGTGGATGGTTTGACGATCTAAATTTTCTGATGCAAGCATTGCATTTTTATGAAAGCCGGCACAAAGAGAGTCGTTTGGTATGAGATCGGTTACCTATGTCAAGTTGCAGGATTTGTCAAAAACCTGTCGCGAAAGGTTGTGTCAAAGGCCAAGAATCCATTTGAAAGTTCATTGGTTTGAAATATGACAAATTATTTGGTTGAACAGCTTTGGAGAAATGCTGCCCCATGAAGGCGATGATATATAGCCCATGCTACTTTGACCCGTTGACCTTAGATGGAGCAGTGCCTTTTGCGTATATTTTGCGGCCTAACATGAATATCAACGAATGATTCTATTTGACATTTCGCTACCGTATGAAATGCTACATCGCTACCATATGATAATTTTATGATCAGATGAACCATAAGCAGTCCATCGCCTGAAATAACATCAACACGTGGTTTTACTTTAAATAGGTAGTTATAAAATTTATTTTCCAATTGCAATGCTGCTTAGATCCTGACTCAACTTAAAGCAACTAACTTCTTTAAATCATATCCTGTGTTTTATTTCATGTTTTTTCGCTAAATTCATTGAACTTGTCTCATCCGATAATTCAAGTAATCTCTCCTTTAACCCAATTCCTAATTGGTCTTATCTTACCGCTTGCCCATGTGGTTCGCCACCCTTAATTCATAAACTATCTTACAGACTTTCCGCTTTTTCTTATACCCTCTTTCGTTCATTTCTTCTACATTGAGCTCCCTTTGTTTGATTTTATTGTAAAAGTTGTCTCCCTCCTTGTATATCTTTTCGTTTCTTTTCAGTAAGTTTAAGAGCTTACCCTGTTATAAACTAAATGCTTAAATTTTTGCATATTTATGACGTCATTTTCCATCTCATTCCTTGGACATCCCCCGGTATGATTTGCTCTAAAATTCCGCCAAGTCATACTTATAAAAATTAACTGAAGGCAGCCTACCCACTCATGTTGTATCCTTGCCTCTATTCTTTCACCCCCGCCCCCAACCCCTAAGCACGCCTATAGGTTATTTCGTGTAGACCATCTGCTCGAAGAATATTCTTAAAGTCATTGTTGTTTAGTTTTTCTACTCGAATAAAGTGTTTTTTTATTTCGGATTTGAATTCTGATTGTGTATACAGATCATCAATTTTATGCATTATTTTAACGTTCAAATGCGTTTCCACTATTTCTTTAAATTTCATCCAGTTGATATTCTTATTCCTACGATATTCCGTTTTATATATTAATTTCGCTACAATGTAACACTGACGCCGTCAAATGTAACAACGCTGGGGTCAAACGTCTTTATTTGAATGTATTTTGAACCCCCACTCCAATCCTATTAATGATACGTTAGAACGGCATTGGTCATGGAATAGCTATTTGTTTGCTTAAATTTTAAACAAGGAACTGTGGAAAGTCACCATTTTACTTTGAAATGTTTTGTATGAACCATTTATCGCCTTGTTATCCCTTAATTGCCTTCTCGCTTGGTATACAACCAGCTCTTTGCGTTTTCACCATCTAGACCCACTGCTTAGTCATTTCTCCGGAAACCTAATTCTAAACTGTGCATTCTCAATAACGTGTGTCACTTACCCTTCAGACAATTATCAACAACCCCCCCTCTTGACGTCAAAGCCAAAATAGACAGATCCTTGGTGCAGTTTTACACCTACCAAGCTAGAATGCTTCTTGTCACTGTCAAAGTCAACTACTGCTTGCTCTTCCAAATAGTTTCGTTGCTTCTGACTGCAAGAATTCTCTCCTATCCCCTTTTCCCCTTATCCCCTATCCCCTTCTTTTTCCCTGCCCCTTATCCCCCACCCCCTTATCCCCCTATTCCAAAAGGCAGTGACATAATCTTACCTTTATCGTCAACCATGAAACAATGTTGAACGTTAAACGCACAGGTAGCCGATAAAGAATATGATACCACCTCCTCATCTCACGTACTAATCATTTCATTCTTCCAACCTAAGTTCGTTTATCCTTTCTCTTTTGCTATGATGAACATCGATCCATCGATTTCATATTAACTCTTGTAACCGCTTAGAGCACCATTACATCATAGCATTATTTGCATTATTGTACTCTATGTCAAACACACGAATTTATAAGAAACCAAATTCAATTGATATCTTTGAGCCCATCGAACCTGTCAAATTCTTTTCAGTATTCGCAGCCGCTGGCCTAAATTTGATTTGACCTGTGCAGTAAACGGGTCATGATTGTGCATTGATTTTCGAAAAGAAAGTGAAAATATAATATTCAGTGTGTTTTGTGATAAGGACAGAAGTAACTAATATGTTGACGGTAACCAATAAAGGCTATGCTTTTTCATTGCAATTATGTTTTCCTTTCCATCGTTGCTGTTTTCCAAATAGCCCTTTACGATTTACCAAATGCAATTAAGCCAAAATTCCAATTTACGCTCCTTGCCCATTTGCTAAACTCACAATTTGGTTTCTTGTAGATGGCTTGTCTTTGATAATTTCGTTTTTTACCTTTCTGTACTTGAATTTTGGAGTAAGGCTGTTGGAGAGAAAAGAAGAACATACTTGAGATAATTTCGTTGTTTTGTTAGCGATTTGAGAAAATTTGTGCTCAAAAGAATTAAATGTAAATAAATTGCTATTTTATTTTTAAAATCATATAATTATTTCATTTTCTGTTTGGAGAAACAAGAAATAATATTATCAACGGACGAAAAAACTTGTTGCTTTCTTGATTTTCTTAACAGGAATATTTAGATTGAATGTGAATGTTTGTTTTTGAAACATGTTTAATGATCGTTTGCTTTGTAAAAGGATTCGCAGAACGGCCATCCACCATGTTAGTATGGCCTCCTTTCCGCTTATCCATCGCCCTTATCTAATATCCCCCCGCTTTTAAAGGATTTATTTGGAAATTAAATCATTCTGCTTCCTAAATGCCCTTAAATTTTGTGACGTTGTTCGATGCGAGGGGCAAATCACTCCAAGAAAATTTCGTACACCTTTTGTGAAAATCCTATGGTTTTATCTGAAAATCCCTGGAAATCCTTTTGCTTTAGGGAAAATCTTGTACGCTATTTTGTGAATTGCCCCTCGGTTCGATGCTTTTTTCAAACACTTGATTGGGGCTTTTGCCATATGAAAGTTTTATTGTATTACAGTATACACCTGCTCTTGGGAAGGCTCCTGTCGCTTTTAACAGTGACTGGACATTCTTTTACTGCAGAAAGAACAGGCGCACCGATTTTGAACAAGTTTTTAATCAAATTCTTCAGCTTGGTTAACCAAACTCACATGTATCTTGCTTGACTCACCAGTTTCTACTTTTTGAAAATTTGTTCGTATGTGGAACCTTTCCCAAAATTCATCCATTACCATCCAACCCTTTGCACGAAGTTGCTGGCGGAATGAGACGAAATGTTGAATTAAAGACTCAATCCATCGAAAGCAGAAGCTGATTTTACCATTTCCATAAGACGTTACATAACTTTTTAACAGGTACCTGTATTTTTTTACTTGAGTGTATATTTAATTTTCAAGACAATTTCAAGTCTTCGTTGAAAATTTGTACACGTTGGATTCTGTTTCGTTACCTGAGTGAAGGGGATTTGTTTTTGCACCTTGAACAATTTGTTAAAAAACAGTTTATAAAATGCGAGCTCAAAGAAATTCTGCCGCGTGAGGCAAAACTTGGCACATTATCTCGATTTTCTTTAGCTTGGCAACTATCCCTCGATGCTCTTCGTCTTGGCAGACCAAAACTACTGAGACGGGGGTTGGTTATAGGCAGAGCACACCTCATTGTAAGTTGGTGTCAAAGATTTGTTGGCGAGGGACTAGTATTGGAAAATTGGTTATGTGTAGATTATTTTGGTACAAGACTACTTTTAGTCTGATCAAACCAGAAAAGTTTAGAAAACTCATCTATCTTCCTCTGAAACAGAATGGCAAAGCAATTACTGCATAATTTTGGAATCATGTGTGAGAATCATGGCCAATTTACAGTGGCATGAAGGATCAAAAACCTTTGTTCGTTTGGCCCGTTTAACAGAACCAACTGCCTTTGCCATTTTAATGGTAGTTCGTCGTGTTCTTTCAGGCCACTTTGCAGAATTCAATCATTCCAATCTTCAGTCATTGATTTCTTAAAGCAGATTGCCTCGTTAGAAAATGCAACTTGGTCCAACTTGAAGCGCTGATTTTTTGTTAAACAAATCATCATGGAAACATTTTCAAAAAGTGATAAAAAATTGGCAGAGAATTTTTTATCTGCTGAGAAACTAATTGAATAACTCAGTTTTTCCAGCAATTTGTCAACGGATAAAGTTGTTAACAGTTTAAGACTGCTGAAACAGTTTATTCAAATAAAAATCAGTTTAGGAAATTGTAAACTGAATATGTTCTATAGTTTAGTTGATCTGGAAAAAAATCTATATTTTTAGTAAGTACAGATAGAAGCATGAGACATTTCCTGCAACATGTGATGTTTGGAAAATGCAAGTTACAATACACTCATTTTATAAAAGAAGCTCTCCTTGAAGCATTTTTGTTGAGTTTCTTCAAGTTCTGGCACAGTTTCATTCATTAAAACGTTGGAAGTCTTTGTCAACTCCGCTCTGCCAGGACGGTCCAGTGAGAACGGCTACTGAGTATCCAGAAAAACAAGCTGAATGAACACAGAGCAGTCTGAGTAGGCCTAACCTCTCGTCCTTCTCTCGAAAGCATATGTTTCTACCCGACTAAATGTAAAAAATTACTGAATACATATGTTAAGTAAAAGTTGGTTTTTTAATTAGTTTTATTTGCTAGGTTTTATGGAAATCATTTGATGTTAAACAAACAATCCAGGAGCAGTTTCTTTGAAAAATTAAATACAACTATATGTTCTTCCAACACTATTTCTTATTTTTAAAAAGAACTGCTAGATTCTCGTTTAATTGTCTTGCAAGTTTGTTTTTGCAACGAAAACTATTTTTTAACATTGTACCTGACAAGTTGTATTCAAATTTTAGCATAGCCCCCCGACCATCACTTCCTTGCAACATGTATTCCCTCTGGGCTGCTCAGATTGCCTCTCACACAAAACAAAGAGACGGCAAACAAACGTTTACAGAAAAGTGCGAGAAGATGGCGAGCTTCACGTGAAAGGCCACAAAATCGTGTAAGTATTGCCTTTTATTTATCAAAATATATTCACTGACGATCTTAGAAGTCACCTAGAAAGATTTATTATCATATCGAATGTTTTTCCTGGCTCAGTCCAACATATTATTTACAATCGGAATGTAATTATGTCTAGCTGCTATCAAGAACTCGGCCAAAAACAAGATTTATTTTCTTTATTTTCGCCTCATTTCCAATCATCTGTTTTCACAGTTTTGTCGAAACTCTTAGCTGATGTAGGAGTGTGAATTGATCAATAACAGTAGCACCTAACAAAAATATTTGTGAAAGAAAGGAAAACAGTCCGAATATCTGACCACGTGTCCTCCATAGCCATCTTCATTCGCGTATAAACACGTTATGTATCTGCGAGATTGCCGCGGGTAAAATTGGATGGAACTATATTGCGATCCATGTAAACAACTTGTTTTCTACCAGAATGCACTGCGTGCTAAATGGAAATTCCGTCGATAGGTAATGGGTCTCTCTCTATAACCCAGTTCCATGTTTTGCTTGAAAGTATCCTTTAATGTTTTGTTTAGTTGCAGATTTGAATCGAAACAGTAATTAACATCTGCTAAGAACAAATTTTTTAACAACTTTTGCTTTTAATATTAGAATTTTGATAATATTTTGAGAACGCTATTACTGTTTTCGATAACTATATGCAGGCTTAAATGCTTGGGCTAAACACTGGTTTAGTCCATCTTGAAATTTCATTTCTACGATTTGTTCTATGTGCACATTTCCTCTTACTTTAAGCCCCTTCATTTTATTCATCTCCGTTCCTCGGAGGATTTTCGTTTTTAATATGCACCAATGGAGATTAATCAGGAAGTCCTTCAAAGTTAAGTTTCCTTTTCGTTTCACTTTAATGGGAAATTGCTTTTAGAGCCTGTATTAATTTACAAATAGAGGTTTCGAAACAAAGCTACTGAAAGGAAACAAAACTGAATGAAAAATTTTCCAGATAGTATTTTCCGGATTATTTTGCTTTATTTTGAGGTGTTTTCTCGGCGTGAAACGCTGAAATATCGGAGAGAATCTGAGATGATATACTCCCCAATAATATTCTCAAAAATCATGCGCGAATTGGATAAAAAAATTCAGCTTTAATAATGAAAGTAGGCAAACGAAAGTTAAGATATTGAGAGATCTTTTAGCCATGTCGGTGATTGATATTACATGCTTCCTGCTTAAACCTCTTCATGTATACTAAATTACCCATTATACATGGTTTATTCTACACAAGATGAAAGGAACATTGCAAGAATCTTTGCTACCATAGCACAACCAAGGTCTTAATTACAACGAAACTTACATTCGTATCAAAATGCGTGTGGTGTGTCGCTATTCTATTCTGCTTCAAGTAATCGTTCAGATAATTGAAATCTTGAAATAATTGATTCTTTAAGTGATTCCTTAATAGCAAAACGGATAAAAAATTTCATTTAGGTTAGGGTACCAGTCGTGGATAACATATCTTATCCGGGGGGAGGGGGTGGAAGACCTTCATGCTACAGTAAGACTAGCCAACCCAGTAACCTTTGAAGCAAAATGTTCACAGGTGGATTGAAATGTATTTAGCCACCAAATTTAAGGCTGGAAAACTGGATTATAACTTTCAGTTCCTTACAAAATATTAATGATTATGAGCCGTCTTCCTGGAAATTCTTCTAGAGATATTTTAGGGCTCTTTTTTAGTACAGGGGGGGGGGGGGCTTTAAGCAGCTACTTCATGTTAACGGTGAATTGATTCTTCACAATGAATGTACGCTATGCGCTATTTTCAATTACTTACAATTTTTGAAAATTGTAACCCCCCTGGAAACGCTTGCTTGCTATCATGCCTGTTGAATTGAAACCCGTTGGCAGAGAGTGACAGGTGAAGGAGGTTTCCTATGCCAAATACAACAGGTGCATTCATATTTGAAAGCATTTATCCAAATTAGACGCGAGCTCTATACGATAAAAGGTTGCTCAAGGGAATTAAATGTATTGATTCATTGTTTTTGCTGATGGATGAGTGTATGTGAAAAGGAGTGTATAGATATCGCGACTGAAATATCACAGAATATGTAGGAGATGGCTTTTGGTTCTCAAATGTATCCAATTTGATTAAAATACATGCATGGTTAACAGTATGTTAAGATACATATTCTTGATAAGTGGAAATTTTCATCACAGAATTAAGGAATCGGTTGGTGAAACATAGGCTCGGAAGCCGATGGATAACGGGTGGTGCACAACATTGGCGTAATGATGCATTTAAACGAATGAATTTGAATCAGAGAAAGCAGCTTGCATTTGACCTGCTGGCAGCTAGTTAGCTGACTTCGGTGAGTCTTTTATTCCGTTTTCCTAACGCTTTCTTTAGTTTTTTTATAATCAAGCTCTCTCGAAAACTAGCGCTGTGTGCCAGGGGCGGATCCAGAGCAGATTTGAAGGAAATCAGTGGGGGCGCTGAGAAATTTTCAAAAATTAGTGATGAGAGTACGCTGTACACAGCATTCTCATATCCATTTTCGGAATTAACAACATAACTTGAGATAATCCTCGAAGCAAATTAATCTATCCATCTTAGAAACTTTTTCACCTGACTCAAAAAAGGGGCGCACAATTTCAAAAAAGGGGTACCAGACTTGCTTCAACTCGTTGAGGGAGTGGGGGGGGGGGCAACTGCCACTGCTGCATGCTACAAAATCCACAAGCATAAGCTTGACATTTCTAATACTCTGATAAAAATGTCTTGATGTAAAGGAACATGTTGGAAGGGAAATCTAAACAGATTCTATTGCTCCAAACAATCTTTCTTTGAACTAGTATTTTATTCGATAGTACCTCATGTGTGTGTCACTCTCCCAATCCAAAGGTATATGTATATTGTGATCGTAATGATATAAATATAAATTCTCAAACAAGCTTCTAAAGGAGAAATTTACATATTAATACAATCCATGCTCTTATTCTCTTCATGTTTTTCATTTTGCTTAAGAGTCGGCTTGAGATTTACGTCATAAATCTTTTATCGCTTGTCTCTTTCACTCCTCTCTATGAGAAATTTTTTCTTCTAAAGAGTACCAAGAACAATACTTTGCACATTGATGCACTTTTTGATAAGTATTGCTTTAACTGGTTAAACTAACTTGAATACTGGTTAAATTCAAGGCTATGTCTAAGATCAGACCGCTGCTTTGCCTCATCAACAATCCACTTTGCTAGGGCAGAATCAACTGAGTACGTTGCCAATTTTTCTTCCCCCTCCCTTGCTATCCTCCTCCCCCCTATAGCAAACAAATCTATGCTTTGAAGACATCTCTCATTTGCTTTTACTCAATCATTATACAGTAAAAAGCTGCTTAAAATAAACTGAAGATTTAAAACATCTAAGCTGATGTTTGCTAATGAAACATTTTCGGCACAAGAGCCTCTGGACTGCAAAAATACAGGGAAGCCTGAAGCAGAAAATCACTCAAGGGAAAGAAGCGGGCTCAAAAAGCAGTGTCAAGGTAAAGAAGGGAACGAAGTTGGGGAAATTATGATACAACGGGTCAACGGAAAAATATCATTGCGAAAATGAGCAGGTTTTGCCATGTAGGAGTGCTTCATCGGCAAATTTTCAGACTTTTCGGCAAGTAATGGATTTGCCCACCTACTTTCTCGGCAAATTGGACCTGTACATAGCTAGCGACGTCCTTGCAAGGGGCACAAACAAAGCAAAACTCGTGTTTCTTGTTCCGAAAGCCTTCGTTTTTAGGACAACTTCTGGATATAATTTTATGGTAAAGAAAGTCGTAGACTAAGCCTCTCTAGCTAGGTGAAATAACCCTTGAAGATTTACCACTGCGATTATGCATCTGGGTCTCACTTTTATTTCTCTTTTTTGCTTTGTTTTCAATTTTAATTCACAATTGTCAAAAAGTCATAAAATCTTTATAGGTCCACTTAAAAGAACTTGATCCCTGTCTTAGTATTTCACAACAACGACAATCACAAATGCGAATGATATTTCATAACAATTTGACGAAATAAAAAATGTCGTTAACCGTACACTTGCTATAGCCTTTTGAATTTCTTAATAGGTTGATTCAGTTACGTGCATATCTTATTGTCTTTCAAGAGT